TCCTGTCCTCTGAGATCTTTTACATTTGTTATTTGTTGAAGTTTTGCATGATAAGGTATCATATTTTAAGGTTCTTTGGACGATTTTCTGAAATATTAGCCACAGAAAATAATAGATACCGGTACCCAGAGAGAAACTTAAATAATACCCGTTCAGAATCACTTTAGATTTTATCTATATCTATTTTAGTTAAGGCTGTGGGAGAACCTTAACCAAGCTCCTATTACCAATTGAAAAATGCTTTAAAGTTTGAAAGTAAGCAGATAAAGGCTTTTGAGTGCCATTTTATCCATTCACAGACCCTTTGCATGTTTCATAAATGCTTCGACAACATCATGATTCAACAAATGTTGCAGCAAATTAAAACCAAATGTCCCCTCTCCCTCCATTTTCAAACATGTTCAATACAGCTCAAAGTAAAAAAAATTATAATTAATTTTGCAGAGTGTAGGCGTTACAAACATTGATCAAATTTAATTTTGAAATATTATCAACAACCTACTTAAATGCTTTACAAAAAAAAAATTGACAAACAACAAAGTGTATTGTTGAATGTCAAGTACACATTTATATCTTTCTCAGATTTAATTTACATCATGTGGAGATTTAGTGCAGTTATGCAACTTTGGTGCCAAAAAGGCGGTGATGTTTTTACTTTTTTTCTTCTTATAAAAAGCTATTTATGGCAACATCTTTCTTCTGAATAAAGGTAGATAACTCTCTTCAACAACTGCACTGTTTCAATAACTTGGAAACTTAGTATGAAACCTGTAAGATTTAACCTTATTAAAGAAGTGTGTTAAATTCCATAATATTGTCTTGTGTTTTGTTATACTAATTACTGATAAATAATTAGAAAAAATGATACTTGGGGATAATGAGTGCATGGTCAAGTAATTGTTAATAGCCATGTGAACTCTCTGTAAGTGATAGTCCTAAAAGGTTGGCAACATACTAAATAACAAGATAGGTGTTATATTCTTTTCATTTATTATGAATAGATCATATGTTTCAATTATCCCATTCCTGATGGGATCAAAATCAAAGCAAGATATTTTGAAGTTTTCAACAGATTACAACCAAAATTTGTGGAATTTCATATCAAATTTCTTATTTGAGACAATTTTCAATTATAAGTTGCTTTGAAAACAGTCAGACTGAAGACATTTTTTGAACCAGGCAGACCTGAGTGGCTAAAAAACAAACTCCTGAATCATAAGTTGATAAAAAGATATATCTAATTGAAAGACGAATGGAAAAATTCCTGGAAAACAAAATATCTAATGAAATAAACTAATATTTTTATTACTGTTCTCTCAGTATTGATATAATGACAGAACACCAGAAAACCACAGAGAAGAACTAATCTAATAACGTCCAGAAAAAGTCACGGTGATCTGGTCTGAAAGTAGCCTCTTATATCCAGACAATCAATACAGTTTACAGTGCATTAAGAAAACAATTCTTGTAGTCTTGGTTATACTTGTCATTTCAATAGTCTTCATAACCCAGTAACCTATTTGAAAGAAATCATTCGAGGAGAAAGTTTGTTACTAAAAAAGGTTTTTTGAAAGAATGACTAAACATATTAAAATCAAAAAATATGAATATATCTTAACTTAATTAATTTACCAAATATTCAAGACATTTGTCACTTTCAGTCAGATATGATTTGCAAAATATAGAAAGCTAGGCTTGCACATGACTGGGATATATATATATATCAATACCAATAGTCAGAATATTAAGAATAACATAAACACTTTTCAAACTAGATCAAAGTTTTCAAAGAAAATGTGCTCTGTAGCATAAAACTTTCAAAACATTTCAGCTTTAGCCAAACATGACTGGCCAATACAACCAGATCAACTGTCCTCCTGTGTATTGGCAATACAATGCCAACTATCTTTCTTATGTTAAAGCTTAGATCATAGATTACCATAAAAGATGTGCTTAAAGCCAGACATGACTGGCACATACAAACAATTCAACGACCCTCCTGTATTGTCGATACAAGGCCAATTATTTCTCCTATGTTTTAGCCTAGAACTGGAGATTACCATAAAAATAATGCAGAGTATCAGTTTTCTTCCAGTAAATTATTGATCTATAGCACAATCTTGACTAAATATTTTCTTAACAGGAAAAAAGTCATGTCTTTCTATTCATAATGGCTGCAGAAATATTTTTATGTGGGAGTGAGCTAATATTCAGACATTGTATACAGTTGTGCTTCTATGACTCATCACATAGGGGAGAGGGGGGGACAATTAGGGGCCAAAGAATTGTCAAGGGAGGTTCACAGGTTTCCCAATGTACAATAATACAAATTTTGAAAGCCAGATAAGGGACCTTATTCTTGAAAACTTTACTTGAGGTGACCCTTCTGCCCTGCCTTTGGCTCCGCCGCTGTCCAAGACTCAATTCTGCAAGTCTTCCACTCCCTTCAGCTATGTTACTAATAAGTGTATATCATGTCAAAATAGCTATCAGAGGCTGGAATAGAGGCAGATGTTTCAGACTATATTGTATCAGGAAGAACCATGCACCAATAATGTTGCTTTATCTGTCATGTCCACACTCTAAGACAGGGTCATGGAAGTAACAATTTAAGCACTAAAAGTTTAGAAAGCTCTTTAGTCAAAGACGGCAGTACCAAAATTATAAATTTCAGCAAGTCCTTATATGAAATTGTTGAAATTCGTTTTTAGCATATGATAGTCCAACAGTTTAAATTAGATGCTAAAAAGACTCAAGGGATTAGTGACAGGAATTGACACAGCCATGGACTTTTGATAAAGTAATGCATAGTATATGTGGAATTGAGGTTAGGAACATACAGACCAAACCCACCAAAATCATATATTGTGAAAGAAACCTTTTAAATTACTCAAGAATAACAAATACAACAGCACTTAATACTTAATGCATATTCATAAGCTAATTAGATGTAATTAATATTCATATCTATCAATTAAGAGTAATAGGATAATTAGTGTAATGGTTAGAACTATAAATCTTAGTTAATTAAAAAGCCATTAATGACTTGAGAACAGCTGTTAGGAAGGAGAAAGAGAGAAAAGTGTAAAATGATATTTCTGACATACTTTCTTTCTCAACTCTTCAAGTATTCTAATTAAAGATGGCTTCTCTTCTATTTTAAAAAAAACTCCTGAATGCTTTCTAATAGTGTGTTAAGACGACAACTATCAACAATTCTTTAAGCCTGGTTTACTATTGTGATCCTTGTGATCAGACGGACATAAAAGTAAAGTAAGCTTTGACATTACCTCAGAAGTTATCAGGAAGTTCAGGTCATAAAACATTAATAACGTTAATAATATAGGAATTATTTTAGAGGAATGTGTAGACATGACATAATGTTAGCAAGTAGCGTTCAGACAGTCAAAGTAATCTGACTTAAGTCATGTCTCCGCTGGTGGTTAAGCAGCGTTAACTTCAGTTGTCTTAATGCAATCTGAATAAACTGCTGACTGCATTTTGAAACTAAAACTTTAAGATATTTTTCTTTCTTCACAATTATAATATTAACCCATAAGATCTTTAGAAAGCTAGCTCAAATCATGAAATTCAGACTGTCTGACAATTTACTGTCTGACCAATACTTATTGGTAAATTTCTCCCAGTGAAAATGTTAACCAATCAAATTTCTCAAAGCTAATTGGATCAAGAATCTTAAACTACGCACTCTCTGACAACTGACCAAATAGTTACAAAGTGCCACAGGTTTGAATCCCCCTTCATAAATAACAAATAGTTTTTAAAATTTTATGTTGGATTGATCATCATTGGCCTCTAGCATGTTGAATTGTTGTTTGCTTAACAATAAGGTGCCATATGTTGTATTTCATCATAAGCACAAATCTTTAACTATGATTGATTGTCTTCTGTTATGTTTTATTTTGTGTACAAATTTACAAATTAATGGCTTCTTAGCAAAAAATTGAATTTGTGGTCTGCTAGACATAAGTTGGAAAAAGTAAAGTATCATGATGTGATAATTCACCTACTGAATCTGGGGTAAAATGTTGTCTATAAATAAGTTTATAAATCCAGCATTTCTTGTCAACACAGCATCAAAGTTTTTAATGGTGTAAAGAAATAAAGTGGGAAGCCTAACTTTAAGTGTGAAAGATCAGTTTTTTCATAATTAAGTTAGAGAGTTCTAGTTAAGTTTTAATGATATGTTTATATACAAACGCTCTACATTTACCACAACAAAAACTCTCATTTTTTGTACCACACAATGAAAGACACACATCTCTAAAATCTCTTCAGGAAAAATTCAGCTTAAGATTACTAACTTAATATAGCACTCATTACTGCTCTAAGTTGAGATCATAAATTCTGGGGAACTATGGAAGAGCCATGGTGAATTTTGGCATTTTCTTTGTCACAAGCTTATAGCCTTACTGAATAAATTGACTTAAATTATAATTGTCCAAAAATTTTATGCTAGACTACAAAGCGACAACACAAATTTCCTCCCAGGTTGAAAACTCCTGTGTTAGACTGACCAAGAATATAAATATGTTGGAAGATAATATTGATAAATTTTATGAAAGTCAAGAATTTGATATTATAATTTCTAGTTGTCTAGATGTGAGAGTCCCTGGAGGTTTTCCAAACTTAATAACAACTTCCTCTCATAATAGACTACTCCTTTCCCAGTTGGTTGGTGGTATCTAAATAAGTATGTCCATACTTTATAATTGCACATAGTGAAAGAATTGTCTGTAACCCCCTAATCAATCCTGTGGCGCTTACTTTCACTCTCTCCCCCACCCCTAATTTCATAGGAAAGTCTTTGAGGAAATGACTATAACATAAGAGAAAAGACAAGAACCAGAATAAAATCAATTTCACAAATACATTTAATGGTAATTTTCATGTTTCCACTTGACTTGACTTGGTTTTATTAGTCATTTCTATCAAGTAGACTTTATCTAACAATTGATTTGATTGGTTGATAATATCAATCACAGATCTAACAATGAATCTGATTGGTTGTTTAAATCAATGATTGACAATGTGTTGACATATTGTAAATTATTAATAAAAAATGTCCACCATTGATAGAAGTCTGGTTTGAGATTAGACAAGCAAACTAAAGTCAGATAATGGCGTTGAAATCTGAGATTTTTATAAATTTTCACTTCACAATATAAATCAGGATGCTTCAAATCAGTTCTATTCTTGAAAAAAAAAATTAAATCTAAAAATGCATAAGTGTTTCCACAAAGCTGTCACATTTTTAATTCAACCTAGACAGTTGTCATCCATTAAGTCAGTCTGCTCCCTATTTTTACACCCAGTCTCAGGACCCTGATGGGCAACCACTGAAAACTAAGTTAGAACACTGGCAGCAGAAAGAGATTGGAATTGGTTATTCAAATTTCAATTCATATATTTATCAACACAAAATCATTTTAAGATTATCAGTTTTGATTTGAAGCTTTTTTCAATTTCACTTTAATAAAATGGGTAAAAGTTGATATTCCAATGAACTTGCTCAGACAATAGGTATAAATCACAACTTTTGGGATGACACATTGGGAATTCCTGCAACAAGTTGTTACAGAGTTGAGTTCCAGTCATTCCATGAATAAACTTAACAAGAAAAATCAATAGCAGCTTGAATTAACAACATTCTATAGTCTCAACTCTGATTCATACTCTAAATTAACTTGTCTTGGTGCAAGGATTACAAGTGTCATAAGATGAGGAATGGTGTCCAGTGCAGGATTATCAATACTGTAGAAAATGAAATGCCCTTCATTTGTTGTCCTATCCAAATGCCTTCTGGGATCTGCATCATTGACAATTAAGGCATTATCTTGAAAAATAGTCAAATTTTGTTCATATAAGTGTGGAAAGTTTATTGCCACATTGATCATTAAACAATGCTTAACAATTTCATCAGATCATGGATGGCATGTGGAGAAATGAATGGAAATATTTCAATTTGCATTTATATCATATTGTCTCAAACTAAACATTTTTTGAAAAAGGGGTATTGAATTATTATCTCATAATATCTTTCAAATTTCTCTCTCTTTAGTTTTGAGACAGAACACATCTTGCTTGCTCTGAGTACATTATTCAAATGTTTTTTGCCAAATGCCAACTTCCTCCATTTCAAATTGTCCAAATATTTATCTAAAATTCCTACAAGATGAACTTGATAATTGAATTTGGCTCTATCAATTGTCAAGTGACTGAAGTTTATTGAATCATAATTCTATTTTACCCCGAGAACTGTGTCTGCTTTCTCTTATCTACCTATTTCAATGTCACGTTATAAAATTCAATTTGGACTCAAATTGGCCATTAATAATGCCAGTCTTGCAATTTCCTCATTCAACATGGATACAGAACTGTTTCCCAAATAATGTAATTTACTATACTATAATCTATCCATTTTAACAAACTTTACTAGGTGGTGGACTAGTTGCGTCACTCTCATAGAACACAGGTACAAATAGGGGCAAAATCGGCGAGGGGGGGTGTTGGAGGTAATAAAAAAAACAACAACATTGGGTTGATTCTCGGCAGCACTGTTACTTGGACTAGACTATATCTGGCAACAAAACACTTTAGTCTCAGACATTTGGCACAAGCAAATTTCCAGGAAGGAAAATTACACAAACTTATTTGACAGTTAATTTAGGTTAGAACGAGAGCTGCTGATTTAAATAATCCCTAGTCAACCCGCCATTTTGATTGCCTGGTATGTATTCTGAGAAATTGATAAAATGAAGTTTCTGCTTTATGAGTGTCTTGAAAAACCAAGACAAATCAACTCTTTAGAAGCAAAAACTCTTGGAAATTGCTATGCATTTTTATGTATTACAAATTTTTATTTGCAATTTGAAAATATATTTCACTCGTTCAAATTTAAAAACTTTGAAGGATAGATATTTTTTAGAAAGTGTGAAAATTTCAGTTCTTAAATTTATTTTAAAGTTTCCATTTACAGATATCTGTGGCTTTTTTCTTGATTTTGAAAGAGAAATAGAAAAGTAAGAAAACTGACCGTTGAGAAGTGATGAGTGTTGGTATTGGCCAGCCATCGACTCAGTTGAGATTCTTCTTCAATATCATCATGATCACTGTCTGGTTCCACCTCACTTTCTCCTCTATAGTCATCCTCATCCATTCTAAAACACAAACACATTCTTTAAACATTTAAACAAGCAAAACCATGTGTTAGAGGACATATACCAAAAATATCCTTCAAACATATAAAGCAAAACCATTTGTAAGGGGGGGGAGGACATGAACAAACACATCCTTGAAATCTTCACAGCAAAACCATGCTTGGGGAGGACGTGAAAACGACAGTAGAAGAACAAGCTAATGCTTGTACATATATAATACAATATGAACATCTGTAGAACATAAAAGTACATAAAAATAAAAAAAGGATATGAAAAAACAGAGCTAGACAATTCCATGCATTGCCAACTTAGGGGGAAATTATTTTATAATCAGAAGTGGTATCAGGTGTCTTGAGTGGTAAGCATACCCCGTTTTATGAAACACTGAATATCCAGTGAACTTACAGCGTAAAGTCCTTACCTTTTAAAATAAATCAAACTACACATGTTCATGTCTGAATTATTTAGGTTTAATTTCTGAGTAATTTGATGTTTAGCAGGCATTTTGATTTTAGATCAGAAATATACTCCTTATCACAAAATCAGCACGAAAAACTTGCACTTCCACAACAAAATCACGAAACCTAATAAACCGATCACAACAACTTTCCTTATTGAACTTATGATGTGTTTTACTCTTTAAGATTTTTGTCCTTTATCACTAATTCTTTCAAATACAATGTATTCCAATATATAGTACACACATTTTGTATCAAATTTGCTCTTGAAATTTACCAATATTCCAATTTGTATAAAATCTCAAATATTTTTTGAGAAGTGGAATCACAATTATTTAACTAAAATATCCTGTGTATGTATTTTTATTTAGTTCCTGTATTAAAGTGTCCCGAAATTTTTCGAAAATGGACACTCATCAAAGGAAACTAAACAAAAGAAATTCAAATTTTTGAAACACAATTTACACTTTGCTTTGTCCTAATTTAAAAACTGGAAAGTACAGTTAGAACTCTGGTCTCTGAAGGCAGTAGATGGGAACGTTTATGATTACTAATGAAATATATGATAAGTTAGTCATAGAGTCATTGATGACTAGTTCAATATACCTGCCTACAATTACTTCTACATATTGTCATAGAAAATCAATATTTCATTATAGACCATAGAATTTTCATTTCCACGTGGCAACAATTATTGTAAGGTGAGATATAGACAAAAAGATATGTGGACGGGGCAGGAGAGGAGGAGGATGGGATTCCAATTATTTTCTTATTCATATTGTCAATATTTTAAATAGGTCACGACATATTGTAAAGTTATATAGATATAATAAAGACATTTAGAGCAGGTGGGGGAGTCAGGATGAGGAAGGAAATGGCTGGGGAGGGAGTCAGGGGGAGGAAGGAGATGGCTGAGGAGGGAGTCAGGGGGAGGAAGGAGGAGGATGGGGATGAAGATAATGAGGGAGGGGGGGTCAATAGGTGGAATTACTTCTCATTTTGTCACGCAAAATTAATATAATATATAACAGTACTATTTATAATCCTTAAGCGACATTTAGGGGTACAGATCAAATTCAATAAGGAAACACAATGTTATGATATACTAGGGTACTTAGTTTTATTGTACACAACGTTTCAACAATTTACATTGTCAGTGCAATATAATGATATTCATGTAAAATCAATTGAAAGATATAGATTTTCTGGCTTATTCAATAAGTATTCAGAAATATTCTGTATTATAATAATATAAGAAAATCAAAATCTGATGACATTAAATTAATGTTAAGTTAATCAAATGTTTACCCTAAGGCCATACCAAAATAATATTCTGTTCGTCGGGAATTCCGTACCCGATTTTCCGTTATCGAAATTTTATTTTTAAAATTAAAAAATAATATTCTGTATGTATCAAAAGAGCTCCCATATGTAAAATTTTTAAAAAAGAATTTTTAATTTTAAAGAAAAAATTATATTGCCTGTATGTCCGTACCTCTAAATTGATCAGATAACATGATTGTTTAGCTCTCATTTTTAGTTTCATTTTTATTTCTCTAAGCCTAAAAATATTCTTTTAAACTTACTTCACAAACATTGCTCTATCACTAGAGGTTACGCCTACATGCCTGTGCCTGTGCTTTCGTAACATTGCTTAACCGCAATATTACAACCTTAAATTCCTAAAATTTGGTAGCGGGAGTAACAAATTGCGCCCTCTATTTCCGTTTGTCAGTTTGTGGACATTGTGCGACAATTATAGTAGAACATGTTCCAGCTGTTGAAAGAGTGAGTTCGTACAGTAGTTTAGGCCCTTCGCTGAAGCAAGAACGTTTTCTCGACGACCGAACGCATCCAATTTCCGGAAGTTGATAATTATCAGAAATAGGCATGGCCGATGCAGTGCTAGAATTAATATTTGTATTTGTCTTTTTTACCAAAATGATTTTAGTGATCAAAATCAGGTCACACCAGAAACTTATTTTGCCATACATGGCATTTGATGTTGAGCCTGAAAACACTTTTAAAGATGTTTCAGATCTGGCATCTGCAGGAATACAATCGTGCATATCACGGTCACAGATCCCAGAAAAAGTGTACATCAAGGACAATATGGAAAAATCAGGCAGTGTCTTGGTTACACTTTCATTGAAAATTTCTCTGTGTGATGAACTGAAATCCAAGTTTGTGGACTTTTTAATTAACTTGCCTTCTCATTCTTCGTCTGAAGAACATGTTTGTAATACTTCCAAAAGTGATAAAAATGTGTTCGATTTTATGATGGCATCAAGAAAGACATTAATGTTTCCTGAAATACCTACACCACCAGTCTTTGACAAAACCTTAACTGGACCTTAAAAACTATTTTGTGATGTGCTAGATTGGTGCAAAACAATTGATGATGGCTGGTCAAAAGACCAGTTAATCCATGCAAAAGAAATTTTGTGGAAGATTACGAATTTTTTGTGGTATGTCGATACGCACCATGACAAATTTAAAACAGCTAGTTGTGCCATACCAAAATGTTTTGAAGCCTTTACACCATAAATAAATACTATTAATTGTTATTTTATCTGAATACATTCAAAATCATGCATGCTGGAAAATTTTAATGGTACGAAGGGACTTTTTTTTTTTTTTAAATTAAAAAATATTATATCGCACCAACCAAATCAATGATTACTAACTTTTAGACATTTTTTTTTAAAATTAAAAAATAAATTTCGTTCGCTTGTACCCTTTTTTTTCAAGAAATCCCGAAGAACAGAAAATTATTTTGGTATGGCCTAAGCTCAGATAAAAACCAGATTTGAAGAAAAACAGTATTCTGATTGGATAATGAAAGAAAATTTATAATTCATCTTAGTGATTGACCAATCAGATGACAGGAACATTAAAATCATTTTAGTTTGGGAATAAGTTTTCAGGAATGATACCCCAGGAGATGAAATGTCTCGAGGTAACTGTTTTATATACTGTTTTTAAAACCTATTGTATCTAAGTAGAAAAGATTGCAAACACTCTACTGAATGGTCCTCTGATATATTTTTGATTAATCAATTAATTTCAAATTTAATTGGCCTTACAGAAAGGTCTAATAAACTTTTTTTTCAAGGTTCATCAAATGATGAAAGTTAAAAGTCAATTAATTATATCTTGATAAATTAACCTTAAATGAGATATTTTAAACTTAGTTCATTCATTCTAATTGACATAAAGGGATATGTTCCTCTTTTGCTGATTGACTTTTATTACATAAATTCTTTATTTACATATGATACCATTATCACTTTCAAGATGAAAATGTGGAATGTCTTCAATTAGGTAAAAGGAGCCATGGTGGCTCAGTGAGTTAAAAGCTTGCTCACTAACCTGAAGGTCCAGGGTTCAATCTCTACTTAAGTCGAGATAATACCCTGTTTCCTCCCCCTGTCAGTGATGCAGGTAAGACGGGCTGACATGCAAAAAGCATCTAGTTGTTCTGATTGGACAATAAACCGAAGCCCCGTGTGCTACATGCTGACATTTTGAAATAAAAAAAAAGGCTATTGCTGTTGTCATGGCAAAAATTCTCTCATTACACTTTCAAACCACTAAACCACCATTATTTTAACTAACCAGACAAATGATGTCATTCCAATGCTTCAACCAACTTTTCAAAGAAATTTTTGAACTCATCAGATTTGGAGGACATTTTATGCAGTGTTTTGGTGTGATTCATGCACAACATTAAGGTGTCATAAATCATAATGGATTTTTCGGAAGAATTTCTCCATAACTAAGAATCTAAAAAAAAATTGACTAATTAAGTCATTGTCAAACTTCTTCATCGAAGAAAAGTAGGACAAAAATTCATACGGAATGGCACCATAAAAATTGAAGTAGAACATAGTATGGAGAATTAAGTTTATTAAGAACAGTCTAACGAACTTATTGTGTTATTTTTCTACTCAGAAATTAATTGTAAATGCAATTTCTTTGGAACTATACAGCCTAATTAACAATGAAAGATCAAAGCATTTTTTTTTCATGTCGCCACATGTTGGGAAGTATTGGAAATTTGTTGATGATGCATCAATGACACTAGAAAATAAAGGTCACATGACAGAACAGCTGACAACTGTGTCATACAGGTGTGTCCAATTCAAGGTAATGATGTCACACAATCTATGCTTGATCAGTGGGCAGAGTCATGAATAATAATAATTATTAATGTATCAAATTAAAATGGGTTCGTCTTGCTGAATTGATTGAGCTGTTATTTTATCACATCTATGGCCATGTAAACTGATTGATAAATAATCAATATGGGTGTGACTTAATGATTGATAGTGTGTATAATGATGATTGACAGGTCATTTTGTCATGTCAGTGGTAATAAGTAGGCTATTAATTGATATGTCAGTGGTGACTGTAAATTCTGTCAGGTTTTTACTAAGTAATTGATTTTATGTGTTATGTCATGAAAAGAACTAAAAGCTTTATTTGGTGATAAATAAAACAAAAGAAAGACAATGGAGTATTACATTCTACTTTTCTAGTTTAGCCAATGAGGATGGTTTAGACTAGACTGAATCAGGGAATATGGTATAATTTGGGGCCATAAGTATCATTGTGATTAGTTTGCGATATCGGCATCCGCTGGAAGCGAACATTAACTTGTCATCCAGGCCTAAAAATTCAAGCGAGTCCCCGAATCTCATTCGCGTCAAGACTCTTGTTAAACCCCGATCACGCGATTGCAATGCGATTCACGCAACAACAACAAAAAAATTACTTTTTTTCATTATCCGCTAACCATTTTCACTTCGCGAAGGACAGAGGTTTTGTCTCAATCGTCAAGCTCAAATAGTCCGGCCTTCATTAAGAGTCAATACTATTTATAGTCTGGATGACCAAGCCACTGATCTGTGGTAGAGTTTTATATAGTAACAGTTTTAATGTTATTGTTGACTTATAAACGAGGTTCGAAAGGAATTAGTAATTGATCCTACAGCAACCGATGATATATTTCTTCATATATAGTTTTTATCATCTATATAACGG